TACACATCTGGGCCTCAGTCTTGCCAGCCTTAACACGTGCATAACAATATTCACAGCAGCCATCCTATCAGTGGTGCTGGGTATGCCCAAATGAGTAAATTCATATAAATGATTAAGTGTTTGCACAATCAAAGGGCTTTTAAAACATACAATATTAACTTCATATATTAAAAACGCAAGGCAAAGTTCAAGCATGACAAGACAGACAATGATACCAGAGAACAGTCTGCAGCAGAATCATCAGCTTCATTTACAAGTGCTGTGTAATACACCTCTCTTGCCAAATCAGCACAGCTCCTGGATTTCCAGGGGGAAACTGAGGCCAAAATTTGGGCTGGATGCCACAAGCCTTGTTTGGACAAGAGGCCTTTTGAGAAACAGCTTTCACAGCACTACTTGTTCTCTCCCAGTGATTATGCAACGTCAGATCATCCACACTCCCACCAGATACCTCAGATTGAAATTCCAGGCCCTTATTCACAAAGAAATGTAAATATACAGTTAACTTCAAGCACATGAATAGTCTTAAGTGATTTTCAAGCAGCTCAAGGTAGAGTCTACTCACAACCTCAAACTTCCATGTAGGCTCAGGACCTTTGCTGAACCATAAGTCCTACAGAAGGATTACACCTGAATTTCCATTATGTTAAAGAAGAAGATGCACTTTCATCTATTCTTTCCCCTTCTCTTTTGTGATCTACACAAAAGCCTTGAAGTAGACACACAAAAAAGTCTGTTTTCCTGGGAGATCTTTCTCTTTAAAATCAAGCTCTGGAAACCCCAGCCTAGTCTGCAGACACTGAGTAAAGTACAGCAAGGACAAGAAACTAAGCAGTTGTGGTGTGCTTCTACAGCAACTCCTTTTCTCCCAATCATCTCATTACAGGTCCATGGCTTTAAAACCAAACTGTGCAGAAAAGTTTGCAGTGGTGTTTAGTAGCACCTATTAAATAACACTGCCTAATCAACAAGTAGGGAAAAAGGACCCACCTGTTAAAGATTCAACAGTCGCATCTTTATCTGCCGGAATACGAAAGCCCTGTATGGAGGTAGCCCTCTTCCAGACTAAATAAAAAAATTCCAGGCTTCCCCTCCTCTTCTACCTTTACATATAAAGGAATGCCAGGAGACAGAATAAATCCACAAACATAGCTTGCAGAGAAATTTAAATATTCCAAATATCTGTTTTACATCTTGAACATCTGTATCCCAGGTGTCAGAGGAGCACACAGGCTTCTAGCACAGCAGAACACATGCCAGACTCTGCTTTGCTGTGAGGCAAGCTCCCCCCTTCTCCCTCCATCCTAACAAGGGAGTGCAAGCCCTGGGATTCTTCACTAAGGCCCTATGCCTGTGTGGGAATTTATCCTAAAAGGCATGACCGGTACAGAGAAGCACCAAGATCAGCACAAGATATGGTTTTGGTTGGTCAAAGAAGCTTGGCTCTCCATTCTCAAGCAGACTTGGTCCTTTTTTTTAAATTAAGCAAAAAGTGGAAAAAAAACCAAAAAGATAATAATAATAATAATAATTAAAAAAAACCAACAAAGCCAGACTATGCAGGGTATCTCAAAAGGAGAGAAATGGCTAAGTGTCATAGTTCTGATACTTCAGACACAAGGGAAAAATATTTTCTCAACTAGTTTACTGTTTAGTACCCTGTAGATACATAATATATGACATTTATAACAGTTTCTATACTTTATGACCTCGAATATACTTTATATCACTAATGAAAAATAAACCCATTCAGAGGACTGGAAAATAATGTACATAACAACTTACTTTGAAATGCAAGGTTATGAAGAGATTTTTTTTTTAACTTTCAAAAATATCTGTAAGAAAATATTATTTTACATACCTATATTACACAGTGAAATAAACTTTGTTATGTACAAGGTTTCAGAATGAAAGAAACCACATTTACTCATTGTCTAAATAATCGTAGTTGTTTCCTATCATTCAGTACAACGGAGAAACTCTCCACTCTTTGTTGGACTATTTCAGTGATCATTTCAGCTTTAGTAGTTACCTGTAGCTGTATAAAACCTGTGTGCAGACACCCACGTATTAACCCTATCACAGTTAGATATAGGTAGTTATTATGCTCTCAGAGTTGCACATCTGCTTGACAAACACAATAACTTGAGTATAATTCAATTGCATATCAGAGAAAAAGAAATGAATTAGTGCAGACACCTGAGCTATAGCATTCTAAGAGAGCTTGGTGTTTAAATCTGCTTTGGATTTGGGTATCTCACAGCCCAAAATAAGGGCATGGGAGCTATTAAAGAAACTGCATATGGTGTATTTGCATAATTCAAAGTTATTTCTCCTCCCTGAAGTGAGGATGAAGTAGTCTTCACAGCCTTCTAGCTTGTGGATTTTAGGCAGAAAACACCACAGTCTGTTTGGATCATATTGGGAAAGCTGCTTTATATGGTCTTAACTAACCAAAAGCTGGTATCCACCTATTCTTGAATGACAAACTGCTCTGGTCGCAGGGGCAGAAAGGACGCAAAGTGCTCTGCTACTTGTTACAACTGAAACAACTGCGGGAAGACAGTATTAACTACGCTTCAAATTTACATCACATTGTTAAGTTTCTATTATTTAGATGAACCCAAGCTTATCTTCAAATTTACCTCAACGCTATTGTGCTTTAAGAGGAAGAAACCAGCAACTGCCTCCAAATCAGTGTTTGCTCATACACTTCAGATCCCAGGACAATAATCTGACAGTGCTGCCTGTGTGGGAGAGCAGTTCAACAGTTGAAAACAAGTTCAGGGAATATTCAAGGCAGACAGCAGGACACTCCCCCTCCCCTCCTGTTTAATGAGGGACTCACACAACAGCTTCAGAGGCATGCCCTCCCCTTCTCTCCAATGCTATAGCTCAGCTGCATATCATAAAAATTAGCAAAAAAGGAAATATAAAATCCCTAATGAAGAGGAAATGGCTTTGCTATAAGGAAGGAAAAAAAAAAGGAACACCCAAAACTCCCTTGCCTGCAATGCCTTCCAGCATGTGCTCCCTCCCATCACTTCCCATCACAGCTGTGTTTACTGTTTTGCAGAACCTGTGACATGCTCCCAGCCAGGAGCACCATACCAAGAGGCCACACTCTCAAGGGACAGTTTACTCGAGACATAGACTTGCACATGAGCAGCCTGCTTCTTGCTGCCTTGTGTACCACAGATGTAATCAGGAGTTCTGCCCTCTGCTTTAGGGGAAGCCAGGAAGCCCATAACAAGCAACAGCAGAGCTCTGCCTGGAAGTCCCAGTGCACACCAATGCGCAGACTCCTTACTCAGGGTTGCAAACTTCCTCCTCCCCTGGGACTGGTCAGCAACAAATACATTTCTGTCCTCAAAGACACCCAGATTGCAAAGGAGGAGCACCTCCAGCCCATCTGCAAGTTTCTATCAATTAAGAAGGCACTAGGCACATCAAATTCATTTCATTAGTATTAGTGCAGATTTCTCACTTACACCTTCTGGCGGGGCTGGCTACTAAGGCAGCCAGGCAAGCAAGCAGCTTGTTGCAGTACCAACAAGAGCCACAACTGAAGAGAAACAGTGGAAGAGAAGGGAAAACAATATCCTCACGCTTCCCAGCTACCAATCTAATCATGCACTCAAAGCTACATGGCCATGTCCTTAAAGTTGTTGGCTCCTTAATAGTATTAAATACTCTTAACTTCTGCTGATAAGTAGATGTCAAAGGCATTTAGCATCTTGTAGGGTGAGGCCTACTGCAGATGGTTGAGGGAAGGCAGAGAGGAATGCAAAGAGGTGGGAGTGGAAAGGGGTGGAATTGCCCTGAGTTTTATCCTCTACAAATAAGTCAGTGGTTTTTATCATCAAGCACTGAAGGAGTTAAGCACTAAAGCACAGACACTTAATCAGCTTTCCCCCTTCCTTTCACATGTGATTGGAATGAAGCTGCTCTGAAGCAGCCCAAAGGGCTTATAACAGCTCAATTTCGCAGCCTTCAGTTCTAATCCCCATCACCCGGGCTAAGTGGCAGGGTTGTGCTGAGGCTGCTACTCCACAGCAGTCCGAGCACCTGGATGATGATGGTCTTCCTCCTCTTCTTCCTCCTCCTCTGCAGCCTGCAGGTGGCTGGAGAGCTCCTGGATCACGGCAGCTCTACCAATCTGGTCATTTCTCCTCTTCTCCATGATCAGATCCTCCAAGCTCTGAAACTCCAGCGTGTGGCTGCGCTTGTCCCCCAGCCGGATCTGCAGTCGGTAGGGCTGCTTGCCTATGCGCAGCTCCCCGCCAATTTTAAACTCCCGCTTGCCGTACCGGCACCAGGCAGCGAAACACTCCGAGTTTCTCCAGCTCAAGTCCCGGTCCTTGCAACCCACCTGCTCCAGGGCGTTCCGCACCACCACGGCCGGGCTGAGGGGTTTGTAGCGGTACAGCTGGTTGGCGATGCGGCCTCGTCTGCCCTGGCTGGCGTCGGTGAGGAAGCTGTTCACCACCTCCAGCCTATGCAGGTGCACAACTTGGAAATCCCCAACATAGACCACCCAGTGTGGATACTGGGCCTGGCACACAAACTCCACCAGGTCACCTGGTTTGCACCTGTTCAGCAAGTTCTCCGGGGTGTAGGTGCTCAGATGCCCCCCACCTCCTTCATCACCCTCCTCTGGCAGCGTGTCCTCCTCAGAAAAGCTCTTCTGGTAAATACACTCGTCCCGGTAATAAACTGAGCACTCCACTTCATGAAGCTGGGGATCGTAGGGCTGCAGGGCAGGGTGCTCACCCCCCAGGTCATGCCCTGAATCCTGCTGCTGCTCCAGCTCATCATCATCATTCGAAAAGATGTAGGAGACCCCGATCCTGGGCCCATCATCTCTGTCCACACCTGTCGGGTCGGCCGTGGGAACTTCCTTGTAGTTCAGATGGGTCAGCTTTTCCACCTGGTTCCCCATGCCCGCTGCAACGACAGACACACAGCAGGGCCATGAAGGCAGGCACGGGGAGAGCAGCTTACAGAGAACGTCTGCCCTGGCTGGCGTCGGTGAGGAAGCTGTTCACCACCTCCAGCCTATGCAGGTGCACAACTTGGAAATCCCCAACATAGACCACCCAGTGTGGATACTGGGCCTGGCACACAAACTCCACCAGGTCACCTGGTTTGCACCTGTTCAGCAAGTTCTCCGGGGTGTAGGTGCTCAGATGCCCCCCACCTCCTTCATCACCCTCCTCTGGCAGCGTGTCCTCCTCAGAAAAGCTCTTCTGGTAAATACACTCGTCCCGGTAATAAACTGAGCACTCCACTTCATGAAGCTGGGGATCGTAGGGCTGCAGGGCAGGGTGCTCACCCCCCAGGTCATGCCCTGAATCCTGCTGCTGCTCCAGCTCATCATCATCATTCGAAAAGATGTAGGAGACCCCGATCCTGGGCCCATCATCTCTGTCCACACCTGTCGGGTCGGCCGTGGGAACTTCCTTGTAGTTCAGATGGGTCAGCTTTTCCACCTGGTTCCCCATGCCCGCTGCAACGACAGACACACAGCAGGGCCATGAAGGCAGGCACGGGGAGAGCAGCTTACAGAGAAGAAGCAGAGCAGCAGGGCACGGCTCCCCCCCAGGGCAGCATCCCCACCTCTCCCCGCTGCTGCGAGTCCCCGGGAGCGCTGCAAGAGCTGCTCGGGAAGGGGCGGCCGTGGCCGCGGGGGTGGGAGCGGATCCCACTACCCACACGGAGAAAGGTGAGGCGGTACCACCACCTGTTCGGCGGCACCGAGGTGGAGAAGGAAGGCGCAGAAGGCTCCGGAGAGGGGACAGGCACCGAGCCACCTGTTAGAGAAGGGCTGCAAACGCCGGGGGAGGTCGGGAGGTGCACGCTGGGGACGGCCGAGTTGGGACCCCGGGGCGCCGTACAGGCGCTCACCTGCCCGCCGCTGAGCCGAGCGGGCTGCCGGCCCGGTGCGCCTGCTCCTCCCCCCCGCCCCCCC